AAATCACAGCAACTGAGTTCAAAGTTTTGGTAGTTATGGTGTGCATGGACTACCCCATTTTTCACCATCAGGACAAGAGTGGGGAGAGGGACTTGAGCCCTCCATGTTTCCTGGGCTCTTTCCAGCTTTGAACAACCTGGTCTAATGGGAGGTGCCCCTGTCAATGCAGGGGGGTTGGAACTAGATGATCTTCAAGGTTCCTTCCAACCCAAACCACTCTATGATTCTATGATTCTGCTGCTTCATTTTTTAATTGTGCTGTGGAAGGGAAAAAACCGGAACCAAGAGTGATCATATAGACAATAACAAATATTTCCCCTCAGGAGTCTTCAAAAGGCAGGAAAATAGAGGAAGATTCCAAAGTGTCCAAAAAAGTGACCATGTATGGTATTGCCACTAGAAACTATTTAAGGTTCTACAAAACAGAAAAAATTGTTGGAAAGCCACTGGTTTGTGAACCCAAAAGTGGGGTGTCCATGCTATGCAGCCCCATTTCTTCCACACTGTCCCCATACGTCACTGTAAGATACAGTGCTGGAAAACACAACCTGTGGGGATGGATGCTGAAAAACCAGCACCGTTGTTTTCCTAGAAAGGGAGACGAAAGAAGACTGAAATAGAAGTAGTGTGGCCGGGGGGAGAGAGACAAAGTTGTCTTTGTTCTGTGCACAATAAACAAAGAAAAATGCTCTGACAGCAAACGGATACTCGACATGAAATGAGGTCAGTTGGTCGCATTGCTGCCAGGCGGTCTCTGTTGCAGGGGTTTGGGAAGAGGGCACTCACAGAGGAGTCAGGTCCTGCCCCTGGGGTTGCAGAGCCAGGACCTCACAGAGCTGTGTGACCACAGGTGCCGGTGCCAAGCTGTTACTGCTGTGTGGGAGGCCTGAGCACAGGGACGCATCATTGCCAGACGAGGGGTCCGTGGATGCCCATGGTGACTCAAACCAATGTAAAAATGGAATGGGAGTCATGGGTAATATGCTCATCAGAGCAGGTGACACCCTGACTCAGGCATCAGCAGAAGGTGTTGATTTAGAGAAGGGAAAACCCTACTGTGTGCACACATGCCTCCCCAAGAAATAAAATTCTAATAAAAAGATGCATCTGGCTGGAGGGCTGTGCCTGCCACTCTCTGTGAGTAAACCACAGCTGCATTTTATTTAGCTCTTTGAAGTGAGGAGTTTTACCCATTGAGGGGAGATGCCACCATGAAGAGAGCTGCATGTGCAGGGCTGGGATGATGCATTTACAACATGCCTTATTTTGCTTCATCAACAGAATGAAAACCTTTTCTCAAAAGCGAAGTCTGCCTGAGAAAATAGTAACTTTTAACAGGCACCTGTGGCAGGCTAATGCAGCAGCAGGAAATAGGCAGCTTCCCAACACTGGCAGCCTCTTCTCTTTGCCACTTTGCTCCCCCCAGCCAGGCTGGGAGGGCTGGGATAGAAAAGAGCTCCTGGCCCCCCTCTTTGGACCACCCAGGACACACCAGTGCAGCAAGAATTTGCTTACCTTAGAGACTATTGCTAAGTCTCATCTGGCCTTATTTCCCCTTGATGTCCCTTTTTGCTTCATTTTCTTTCTTTTTTTTTCACCTTCCATATTTTGCTTTAGGATGACCTGAGTAAACATAACTGCTGGTTCCCAAGTGGCTGGTCACCAGGGAGATGGAGAAATGGTGGAGAATAGTGAGATATGCTGTGCCCCAGACACAGTGAGGGGCAGGCAGAGAGCAGCTCTGTCCACAGCTAGTGGCCAGCACAAAGCCTGACTTAGCCCATCCAAGCTGGCATGCAAGTGGCAAAACAGGGGGTGTTTAGCCCTAGAAAGTGGAGGGGGATGTCTTTTGGGATTAATATGGAAAATTAGGAAGAAGGCTGAGAAGTGCAATTCTAGGAAGAGGATTAAATAGGATAAAAGAGACACAAGCACCTGGGACTGCTGGCTTCACTGCTGGTTTGCACAGGCAAAAAGGACCTGGGTCTGAAAACAGGCAAAAGATCATCCTGCAGCAGCACCAGGGTCAAGCTGAGCATCTGATATGGCCCAAGAATAAATAACATGACTAATAAACAGTTTCGGAGGCAGTAAGCAGTATATCCAGGCCAGTTCCTGCGAAAATGACTAAGCACTCTGCCATGCACTGTTGGCCTTTTCCTTCTCCTTCCCTGGCCCAGCATCAGAGGGGTGGTGGGCGTGGCCGGGAGTCCACTTCTGATCAGATGTTCCTGAGTTTTTGGCACCTATATTCTGCTCATCCGTTTGAATGGAAACCCAATGCCTCTCACCCAGCACCAGCCTCACCAGGGAGACCAGAGATGCAGCTGCGGGATGCTTCCCTCTTTGGAAGTTTCTCAGACCATCTTTAAAAGGATGCAGAAAGGACTTTTGTTTGTTTGGTGTTCTTGCTTTCGTTTGGTTGGGTTGGTTTTTTTTTTAAAGCTGCAAATCCTGCAGCATCTCTGCCATCCCCTCCGCCGGAGCGGCACCGCACAGCTCAGCCTGTGCCAGCTCCGAATTCCCGCATGGTGATACGCGCAGTTGGAAACAGGAGCTTGGGAAGCTGCGTTTGTTGCTCTTCCTGTTCCACAACAACAACAACGGAGGTATTTCCTACCCACTCTCCCCCTACTCTGCATTTCAAAGAGCTGCTTTTGTTCTGGGTAAGTATCGCCTTGGACCAAAACCCCTGTCACTCTGCAGTAAATTATCTTAAAATAGAGACCTCTCCCACCAGATGTTTGTCTTGGAGACGCTCCCCAAACTGCAACAGAAATGAAAGGGTGGGAAAGGGAAGGTGCATGTGACAGAGCAGAGGCTGATGCTGTTTCTGAACCAGCGTTGTCCCCTGTCACCAGTGGCCAGATCCCCCTACCCTGTGCCAGACAGGGCACTGGTATCTGGGAGACACTCCTTGAGCACATAAAGCGTGACCCTTCCCTCTCCAGCAGCTGAGCACAGGCTGTGTCTGGCCACTGCCAAAGGGCTGCTGCAGTGAGCAGCCAGCAAGACCTCCAATGTCCAGAGGTTGCTTTGTTCGCCCTTTATCAAACTCTACACATTTCTCCTTCACACTCCATGGCATCAATTTCCATTTACTTCAATTTTAAAGCCACGTCTTGAACATACACTTTACCCTGCTTTTTCAGGACCATGCACAGGTTTCTCCCTTTCCATGGGGCTCCCCAAGCTGACTAAAACTTTGTTTCTCCTGGTAAGAGAGCCATGAATGTCTCCAGCTTCTCTGCAAGCTGCCCAGTTCTTCTACAGGTCCCGTTTTTTCTGAAGTGTGACTCAAGTCCAGGGAGCAGAGCACAGGTTCACATGTTGCACACTGGCATCACCATGTATTTTTCTGTTCCTTTCTATTTTTAGCAAGTCTCAGTATTTGTTTCTGACCACTGCTGCCATGTCTACAAAGAACACTAGAACTTTCAGTCAAGTTATCAATGTATCCCTTTCAGCACACAGAAGAGGGGCTGGGGGGTCTCCTTGACAGTTGCTTTGTATGTACCATTACCTAGTACCAGCTATTATTTTTTCCACTCAAGTGTACAACTTCTCACAGTCATCTGCAGGTGAGACAAGCCTCAAAAATACGTTTTAGCTCCCAAGGAGCTAGGAGCACTCTAGGCAAAGTAAAAACCATCAGAACCCTCCTGATCTCCATCACTTTTGCCAAACCAGGTCCTTGTAACTCACAGGCACTCAGACAAGCCTGCACCAATGAGGAGTATGAGCCAATGAGGCTCCCACTGCCAGCATGTGGGGAGCCCCACTGCATGGTGGATCCTTATTCTCCCCCCCAGTGGTTCACTGATCTGCTTCAAACAAAGAGTTAAGGAAGAAAAATCTCCAAACTATGAAAATCTGGTGCATTTCCTTAGTGTCTCGACAGCACTCCACTTGCCTGCTTACATTATAGTTTGGCAATCAAGGTTGCATAAATGTTGGTCCAGTGCCTAGAAAACTTTTCATTTTAGAAGGACTGTGACCCACCAAGGTCTCTTGTACATGCTTTTTCTCATTTTTCAGCAAACAACCCCCAGTGATTTATAATACCACAGTAGCAAGCACTTATCTTTTTTTTTCCTAATCTTTTAATTGTTTAAGCCAGGAAAGCTTCATAATGTACAACTTTGAACTGTCAAAATTTACAAAACAAAAAGAGAAAAATTTAAAACTGGTCATAAGTCACAAATATCCCCATCAGAACTGTATAGTACAGACATTAAGCTTTCTGTATAACAAATTTAAACCACAGGTCACTTTGCTAATTTTAGGTAAGAGTGCAAAGAGCTAATTGTGTAGTACACCTAAATGTTAAAAGTTATACCATGTAAGCAGATCTGCTGCTGCTATAAAAAATATACAAGTATAAAATTACTTCTACAAAATTGATTCATTGATTTTGTTGCTTGTAATAAAAAAGTAGACTTTAAGAACTTTCCTTCTCAACAAACAACAGTATTTGAAACCTGTCACTGTAGCTGTTATTTGCACAGATGAAACATAATTTAGGTAAATCAGGTAAGGAGAACTTCTTGTTCCAGGACATACATTTGAATGCATAGATATATTGTCTCATGGTATATTTGTTGAACAACACAGTCATACCAGTGCAGAGTGGGATGAGCGCAGGTGTTTCAGGACTGCTCTCTGGTATTACACAAGATAACCAATGGACCACAACACAGTCACTGAGCTACTCGTAACATCACACATTTCTTTGCCATTTGCACCAATGCACAACCTTTAGGGTTCACTAAACATTCAGTGGGTAGAGGGGATGGGTTCCTACACAAAATATTCAGTTTTGTTTGATCAGCAGAGGAGCAGAGAGGTTTTTGGTTGTATTTTTTCAGGATTTCCCTTTGGCTCTGTCACCTTCCCAGATGGCAAAGACAGGTCACCCAGAGAGGGCAGTGGCAGCCAGCTCACACTCAGACACACACACAAGCACACGACGGGTCCTCGGCACCGGGATTCCTCTCTTGTCACTTGGTCCCACACATGTTGATGTTCTTCCCATCGGCAGCATCCTCCACCAGCGAGATGTGGTAGTCGGTTGAAAGGGTGAGGTGGGAGATGCAGCCCACCAGGCCCCGCATGTACTGCCTGTTTGTCTGCAGGGCTATTTCCTTCATGCCACCTGGGGGAAATGCAGTGATGAGAAACTCTACTGACACGGGTTTCTGCTCCCGACTGGCAGCCCGCATGCCCAGCAATGTCATTAGCCTTCCTAGTGCACCTCAAAAGTTAATTTTAATTTACACGTTCCTCTGTGGTTCTGTGTTTGGTTTAGTTTGTTGGGTTTTTTTAATACAGCTTTTAAGCACTTGCAAGTACAGAGGGGATAAGCAGAAGATAATAATGATTAACTAAGATAATTATTATTTATTGCAGAAATCAAAGCATCAGAAAGAGCTGAATAAGCTAGTCGGTTGAAAGGGTGAGGTGGGAGATGCAGCCCACCAGGCCCCGCATGTACTGCCTGTTTGTCTGCAGGGCTATTTCCTTCATGCCACCTGGGGGAAATGCAGTGATGAGAAACTCTACTGACACGGGTTTCTGCTCCCGACTGGCAGCCCGCATGCCCAGCAATGTCATTAGCCTTCCTAGTGCACCTCAAAAGTTAATTTTAATTTACACGTTCCTCTGTGGTTCTGTGTTTGGTTTAGTTTGTTGGGTTTTTTTAATACAGCTTTTAAGCACTTGCAAGTACAGAGGGGATAAGCAGAAGATAATAATGATTAACTAAGATAATTATTATTTATTGCAGAAATCAAAGCATCAGAAAGAGCTGAATAAGCTGTGCCCAGATTCCCAATAAGGTGAGGGGTTCACAGCAGACACTCACTGTTTCCCTCTGTACCTGCTGGGGGTACTCACTGAGTGCACTCAGTGGTGTTGGACCTTTCTCATACCAGTCTACCCCATCCACCCAGAGATGCTTCCCTATGAAAAACAGGCTATGGAGGACCAGAGACCTTCGCCTTGACGTGGGCAGAGCTGGGATGTCCTCCCTGCCTTGCAGCCAGCCCCACAAACACAAAAACGCTCCTGAGTCTTGAATACGAACGGTGAACACTCACCCACATAGAGATCTCCATTGATGTTTAACTGCCTCATTTTCCCAGGAGATTTACCAGTCCTGGCACCATAATCGTCCACAGTTACTTTGCCAGACTGTCCATCCCTGAAAGGAGAAACAAACCTCTCTCATGCATCCAAGAGGGAAGATGAGAAGCAGCATCTCCCCATCACTAGGAGAGCAGAATGATTCAGTGCTTGGCAGGGTTCATGGAAAAGTCTTGGGACTGCAGAACCAGCAGTTTCCAATGACAATCCAGACCCTTTAGTGTGGTTTTTCTTTTTATAGGGACTAAGATGTCAGAGACCTGCAAAGGGTGGGAGATGTCAGAGACCTGCAAAGGGTAGGAGATGTCCAATGGAAGGACACATTTGCAGAAGAGAAAAAACTGAGAAATAAGTAGATTATACATCTCAGAGAGGACAGACAGGTTCTGCTGTGTTGATAAAGATCAGATGTAATATAAAAAGTCAACAGCAGAAGCTTCAACAGAAAGGAAGAAAAGGGCAAGCTAAGGTAGAACATACCTGGAAGTAGTTTTGTTTCCTCCTAGAGTTTTTAGGCCACTTCCATTGTATATGTGGTCAATAACTGCATTGACAAAAGAACCATTTGATGGGCTCCTGTTCTCACTCAATTTGGTGACACTTTGAGCTAATGTTAGCTAGTGATTTCCAGGGAACTGATATCCCAAGAAGAGAAGGATGCATGCTTTCCCTGCTGGGCACAGTCACCTCCCATGAGGTAATGAGTTATAAATATGAGTTATATATACACTGCAAGATGTCTGCACCTCCTCCAAATAGAAAAAGTAGGCATACACTGTCTGGGCTCCAGTGCTTGTGCCAGCCCGCAAAATGCTCACTAGGGAATTTCAAAATGCAGACATTGAAGAAAAGCACTCTTAACCCAAATGGTATGGGCTTAAGAGCATGTCTGTCACAACCCCAGAATAGCACTGCATGACTTTGGCAGCCTGCCTCAAGCTGTGCTGAGCTTCAGAGTTGGCACTGTCACCTCTAATACAATAATCTTTGTGTACATCGTCCTGAAACAGCCAAGTTGCTAACAGTTCAACTCCTCAGCGACGTGAGAGCATGGAGTGGCAGAGATTCACACCTGGCCAACATCCAGACATGCCAGCGAGCACCTTTAATGGCAGAGTGGCTTCAAACCCCTCCCAGATGAAGCACGGCCACTTACCGAACAGCCTTGACCCTGTGCCACCGGCCATCACTGAAAGAGCCGTTCACCATGATGGAAGCAATGCCACTGCCCAAATTGTAGCTACAAATAATAATAATAAAAAGCATTAAAAGTGTATTGTGTCCCTTACAATGACTGTCTGCCTGCCAGCTTTCTCAGACCTCCTTACTCTGTGCCCCGTTCACCTGCTCAGCTCAAGAACAACCTTTACAGCTCAGACTTTGGAGAGACTGGTACAGAGTCCTTTGGAGGCTTAGCAGTGGTGTGAGTCAGGCTCACAGAGGAACATGCAAAACTCCCTCCTGCCTCAGCTAGAATGAGTACCATCACCGCCATCCCACGGGAGCAAGGAGGGGGCCTTCTGCATGGCAGTTCCTCTCCAAAACAGGAGGTTATGAAGGTCAGTGACCTACAGACCTTTGGCCTAATGAGTGAGACCAGTGGGAGGCTGCAAACACAGTAAATAAATAAACTATTACAAGAGAAAATAAGTGTGTGATCTATAACAAATCTGCAAATCATCTGAACTATAGGGAAGGTAGAGACCTGTGATGTTAAAAAGGATGCAGCCTAGTAAGTAAATGCAGATAATAATGAAGTTCCCTACTACAACTGCAGCTCTCATTACTTCTTTTTGTTTGTTGCTACTAAAATTACTGAGCAGATAAAACATGCCCATCATGGTTACACTTCAGACATCTTAATTTCTGGTCCCAGAAACCTGGGCAAACCTTCACAAAGGAGAAGTAAATGCTACACCACAGTGACCTATTGGGTGCCTAGCTGCCAAAATAAGCAGGATTAATTAGCCTGAGCTCCTGGATTTGTCTGCATGAAGCTTGGGAGTACAAAGCCAACATCATCTCTTCAAAAAAGACTGAACCAGGAATTAAGTCCATGGCCAGGGTTAGGTACTCGAGAATAGTACATCTGAATTGTCAGCTGCTCAGAGCAAAATGGTTGTTCAAAATTTGACTCCTCTCCAAAAGACTGAGTCTCAAACAAGCGTCTCCTTTTCCCAGGACTCAGATATTAGTCTAGGTTGAGAGCTATAGAAGAATTTGGATAGGCTGGTAGTTTTTTTGCATTTGTTCTTCACCATCTTTTTCAGTGCTCTTTTTCATCATGAGAGTTTTCATTTGGGGTCTTAAATTTTACACCCTCCTAAATGTGTGTGGAAGGTACAGATATTTCAATAAAATCTGGCTGTTTTGGTCTAAAATCTTGCTGTATCTTCATCATTTGGAGATAACAACAACCCTAATAAACATGAACTGTGCCTAGAAAATAGACAGAAATAGATTGGCCACTTACTACCCACCAACTTGGAAAGACAGTTTCTCCCAATGACATTTTAAAAATGCACCATTTCTACAGAGCCAGTGAGGAAGCTAAGAGTTTTTGGAAAGTTAACCATAGAAAACCACACAAACCTCCTCAGCTTTAAATAAATTTTAAATATAAATGTGTAACTTTGTTCTTGTGTCCATGGTAGCAAACAGCACCAGGTAGCTTCAAATTAGCCTAAATTATTAACAAAATCTTTGTCATTTGATCAAGTGTCACACAGCAGTCTGCAATAATTTTTGTAGTTTGCTGTTGCAGTTTTTGTCTTACATGACCTAAAAGGATATCATGAGCAAATATATGGCTTTCAAAAGGCAGGAGTTCCCCCCAAAAAACCTGCAAAAAATAGCAGTCTGCCTAAGTGTCTGCAAGGGAGAAAGCAATTCTGGAGAGAGAGAACATGGCTTCAGACATTTCACAACACTCCCTGGTTTCAGCTTTTTACAGTAATATTATTTTTTTCTTAAACAAGTGGTTCTGTGGATGTTGGCTGTAGCAACGCCTGGCCTGGTGCCAGCTGGGTTGGTGTCACAAGTTGGACATCTGGAGGTTTGAGAAGGTGAACCCTCTGCTGAAGAGTGGTTCTGCAGTCAGTACAGACATCAGCAGGGCATCCTTCCTCAACTCCTGCTCGCTCCTCACACCCTACACCTGTTCTGCTTAACTGAGACGGCAGGGGCTTCAAGGGGAGGGGGGAGTTACTAACAGCACTTGCACCCTCATGGGGTGACTTTTGGAAAACCATACTAAAAATCTGATGCTGTAAAAATTGGAAGAAAGGGAGGGAGTGAGAGGGAATGATGCTAACCTGACAGCACATTGTCTCTTCAGCTCACAGCCTTTCCCAAAGAACAACAGGGCTCATCACTGAACAAAACTTTGATGCAATTGTCTCCCACTATACCAATGGACAAGTGCACTGGATGTGTTGTGGAGATCCCTTTGAGCATGGGTTGTAGTGTATGCAGGAAAAAAAAAAAAAAGGGGGGGAGTGACAGTTTACCTGAATATTAGTGCTCCTTCTTGAAGGCCTAGAGAAATGAAATCACTATTTGGTCGCATGGGACTGTCTCCTCTCCACATCAAAAGACCTTCCTTCATTGTGGTTTTAAACCTCATGAACACATTTGTTCTTGATCCTGATACCCTGTTTTTATGTAGAGAAGAAGGAAAGAGTAGTAAAATATTGAACTGGGACAGTGTTCTTTCAAACAAATCAGAAAGATGATGGCACTATTTTGTCTCCACTAGTCTTGCTGGTTAATGCCTTGTAATTTGCCGATGTGCTGATGTGTGAGACACTCTGGTTCTCATCCCTGCTTCCAGCATTTCAGAGAGGAGGAATTTAACTTGGTCCTCCAGAATCCCAGAAGCAATAGCTACTGGATTATTCCACACAAACAAGATAAAATACATTTTCTCCCCAAGTCTAGTGTGAAATCCAGTCCAGTAGGTTTGCTGGAAGATGCATAAGAAAGGACAAATCAGAAAGTCCTGGTAGGTCAGAGGAACCAAGCTGCTGGCAAAGCCTCCCCTACCTAGTGCCTGAAATAGAGATTGATGCATTTGTTGTAACAACCCAAAATTTTCTGGAATTTGGGCATCTTATAGGATACCAAACAGCCAAAAAGAAGTTTGAAAACCTGAATTCTAGACTAAACCAGGACTTAAAACACTTCATGTCTTCACAGATATCAGCTCTATTTGTCTGTTCTTTGCTCTCAGAAAGCAAACACCAGTCCTTCTCCATATCGGATGTAGCCTGTGCAAACTACTTTTTAAAGGGTGGAAAATGCTCAGATATTATAACAAACTGAGCCATAAGCATATGCATAGAGATCTTTTTTTTCCTGAAATTTAGAAATATGGTAAAGCTTCAAGCAGTATTCAACGTATTCAACACTATTCAAATAGTATTCAACGTCCTCCCACATGATGGTCCTAGCACTATAATGGCTAACAAACAGCATGTGTAGGTTCCCAAGAGGTACATTACCTTTTCAGGATATCTGGGTTATCATATGTGAGGTAACTGCGACCAATAAATTGTGGGATTTCAATTGCTTCAGTAATGGCTGAAAAGCAAATTAAAAAACAAAGATGAGTGTCATTAACTGACATGGAAATGGAAGAAAAACACAGACAAGATTACAGCATTGCCAGCTACAAGCCAGTGGCAAAGAACGGAACATCCAGTTCATACCCAAATGTAAAGACAGTAGTTGCAATTTAAACAGCCAACAGTGCCTTACTTACAGCCTTAATGTCATGGGTCTAATGTATTGCTCCACAGTAAACATCGGCACAGGAAAGTATGTAGTACTGGGAAAACACTGCAAATTTTATTTTTATCCCTGTTTCCACATTCCTTGATTCTCCATGCACTCCAAGCCACCCTCCTGCCAAAGCTTATGCATTAACCAGCCTCTGTTCTTAGTCTAAGAAACTCCTCCCCAGCTCCCAGTGGAGCACCACATGCAGAACACGTGCTGAGACCTCTCTGCAAAGCAAGGCTGGAGGGCAGAAGAGGCAACCTGTGAGCTCCCCATTTTCTCCTTTCAAGTATGTGACTTCGCACAGAGCAGCTGCTGCCACACAGGGCTTACCCCTGGGGAGAAGTGCAGGGGAAGGCTAACTCCAAGGAGGCCATGTAGCTTCCCCCTAATCCCTTTAGGTCTATTGGAAGCAAGAAAGACTATGCTGAAGACTGTGTGACAGGGGCTGCAAAGCCTCTTGATGAATACATTTGACATGCTGCAGTGCTCCCTTGGATGTTGTTCTCAGACCTCACTGGTGTCCCACACATTATCTCCCATTTCTCTAGGGACAGCCCTTTGTACAGCTGTGCTGTACAGCTGATGGGATAGCAGTGCACATTGCAAACAGACCTGGAGCTAGTGTACTGCAGCCCACAGAGAAAACTCTGGCAAAATAACTCAGATATGTGATATATATCCCACATACATCGAGTTTGGCAGACTATGAGCCCTGGCCTGAACAAACTTCCTTTTGAGTGAACATCCTACAGCTCACTGCTGATCTCTCTTCACTGACTGCTGCATTCATATAAGCCAGTTTCAGAAATTCTTTAAAATAGCTGCCTTCATCCTATTTGCTTCTTGAGAACTAATCCCTGCAACCCACAACTAATCCCATCTATATAAATTTCAAGCTTTTCAGGGCATGGATGCTAGATTTCTTTGTGCAATGCAGAGGCTGGCTGGGCCTTAAGAGCTCACTCTAACACAGATATGCAACAATTGGTGTAGTTCAGCAGCCCAGAACGGCAATATGAAATTTAGCCCTAAGTGCTGAGACTGAGAACTTTAGATAGTAAAAAATGCCCATTTTCAACAATGTTGAAATCAGGAAACCTGCCTAATGTGTCTAAAGAAACCATCACAGGCAGTCCACAGCCTGCAGCCTGCCAGCATCAGTGGACGATTGCAAAAGTTGTGTTACACTCAGCCAGACATTCCTCACCAGGCCTAATGCTTTCTGCACTGAACAGTCTCTGATCACAGCAGATGGCAGGACACCATAAAAGAAGCCCTTCTTCCCCCATCACACTCCAGACCAGCATTAGAGCCCTGCTGCCCTTGCTTTTGGCAGAGGAAGGTGCCCAGGCTGTGCAGCAACCCTGGTGCTTGCTCTGGCACTCCGATTTCTGCCATGGAGCTTGATGGACATTTGTCTCTGCTTGCTCTTTACTTACTGCACTGCATTTGGCCACAGAAAGCAGTTTCAGCACCACCCTTGATGCATGCAGGAGCTTCACAACTAGAAAGGAACAGGTGCACTATAGACCACCAAGACTGAACACCTTCACTCCCTCCCTGCTCATCATTTGACTGAGAGGCACCAAAGCTCTCATAATGAGTCACTGTTGAACTCTGAACTGCAGGGCAGCCTGAAGCAGCACCTACTCCTACAAAGCACTCAGTCAGCTGCCTGGTCCCCCTGCTTTGCGAATACAGGGACCAGCTCTGCATTTGCCTGGATGTAGTTTAAAATATCAATTAACAAGGTTTAAGGAAGTACTATATAATCCCATAAATATATTTGATTAATAACAGAAATTTGCTAGGCTTAATGGAAATCCAGTATCTAGCTTGCTAGAGCAGACACAGATACACAATGACAGAGCACTTTTCAAATTATTTGCAGTACTTACTGTTCAGGCAGTAACTTCCACACTCTGCAATGAGTCAGCACAAAACAAAACAAGAACATTCTGGTTTTATTTTTCTATAGCATAAAAGTCTTCCTTCCAGTGACGGTCCAGTTTCATGCCCACTTTTCCAAAAATGCTTGATCCCCACTTCCCTTTTGCATAGGCAGTTATAACCACCTATGAAGGCAGCACTCTTTCATTAATGTTTTGCCCAAGTATTTATATTCGCCTGCTCAAAACACACAAAGATGCAGACAGGTAGGATCAGCACCAAAAACCTCAGATCTGGTTTTCAATTCCTCATGATTCATCATGGTTTATCTGAGGATCAGCTCTAATCAGGGGAAAGAAACAGGACACTGTTCTACTTCACAATTAAGTATAAAGAATTTATACTTTAACACTCCCCACAGTTTATACAGAATATAAAAATCTCAGCAATGCCAGCAGAAATTCTATTGAATCCTAGGCCAACGATCCATTACGATATTAATCAGTATCTCATACACCCGATACCAGCATGATTTAAATTGTTTCATAAGTGATGTGCAATTTTGGAGAATGAGGTGCAGTTCCTCTCAAGAACTTTGTTTTTTCAGGGTCTGGGGATACAGCAGTGCACCAGGACACAGGTTGGAGAACGCACCTTCAGCCTCTCACATACTCTCTAAGTGCTCTAACCAAAATCCTGTTCTGAAGGAGGAGGGGACACACGTGTGAATCCTGCCTTAGCTGTGTCTACATCCTACTGAAGAGACACAGGTAAGGATTATTTTGAGAAATCTGCTCCAGGTTCATTAAAGCTGTCCTGGACTTAGTTTTAGGAGGAGAGACATTCATGCTCTCTACACATCCATCTGCAAAAACTTGGACTTTTGGCACCAGTGCAGGAAGGCATTGAAGGCACCTGAACGGCAGCCACAGGCAGTAGAAGAGAAGACAGACGACTTGCCCAGGCCAGGTTTAAATCTGAGACAAGCTGGATTCACATAGAAATCAAACCCCAGGATTCAGTTAAAGCCAAAGGCACAAGGGGCTTCAGGCTGTCTCCCCGTGGCAGTGCACCCCCTGGGGTGACACTGGGGAGCAAAGCAGTGGAATTCCAGGGAGCAGAGCAGTGGCATGCAGGCCAGGGGCAACACTGCCACTGCCACCAGGCTGCAGTGGCAGCAGGCAGAGCACAGTCTGCCCTCAGGGCTGGGCACAGCTCAGGAGTAGACAGCAGTGAGGAGCTGTGGCCTGACCAGCACACAAGTGCCCACTGAGTAGTCAGGCTGCCACACACCCAAGCTGCAAACCATTCACTTGCCCTGTCTGGCCTTGGAGATCCTGGTACTGCTGCAGATACCATCTTGAAGTCAGGAGCCTGGCACCATGCACCTAACTAAAAAGCCAAAACCACAATTCTCCCTCCTCCCCACAGAGAAGCCAGGATAAATGACGTTGCTCCAGCTGTTACTTAGACCACAACAACGTAAGCAAATGGATTTCTTGCATTGCATTTTAATAAAACGGTTTTGTTCTAAGATACTGGGTTTTGGTTTTGGGGGGTTTTTGGTCCTTTTTTTTTTTAAGAAAAGGCTAATCTGATCATCACAATTTAACCAAAACCACTACTTTTAACTTAAAAATGTGTTCTGGGAGAAATGAAGGAGTGGGTGAAGACAATAATGTCAGTCAGTTCTCTTGAACTGAGTTCGGTGTTGTATTACAAAATCTTCTCTGAGGGACTACTTAAAATCAAGCCTGACGGTAGGCAAACATCTCCATCTAGTGGAGTAACCCAAGGTGCATTTTTTAACACCATGCAGTCCGGAATCTATAATTTGAACTATTACAGTGGCTCTAAGGGAAGAATAATGTGCATTTGGGCAGGTTTTCCTCCTTGATGGTCTCTGTTACCATACCAGAGCAGGGTTTGTGTAGATTGTGAAAATAGCATCGGAGTAGCCAGTGACTAAAAAAGGACTAGACCTTTTCGTATAAGAGAACAGAGCTTGCTGTGAGCCCCAGGGAGGATAAAATTACATGGGTTATTAATACTCATGCGTCAGGACACAACAATCACTGGCTGGAGGACGTTGGAAGGAATTCCCCCTTTGTATAGCACTGCATAATTAGGAAGGTGTATGAAGTGTATGCTCATGTTGGCCACCACAAAAAAACAGATACTAGGCTGCTGGGATAACAGTTACCACATTCCTAAATAACAAAACAAATTCTTCCCCGGGTATGTGGGATGTTCAAAGGCAGCTCTAATTTCTAGTTCAAGCGGCATGTATACCAGTAGTTGTAGGTGCCAAACCTCTCATTTTGGGGATCAGATCCAGATTGCTGGATTGAAATGCAGTCATGGTTACCTTTTTGGCAGTGCTGCCCATCAAAACCCAGGGGACAGTCACATTCATAGCTGTCCTGTGCGTCAGGACACAACAATCACTGGCTGGAGGACGTTGGAAGGAATTCCCCCTTTGTATAGCACTGCATAATTAGGAAGGTGTATGAAGTGTATGCTCATGTTGGCCACCACAAAAAAACAGATACTAGGCTGCTGGGATAACAGTTACCACATTCCTAAATAACAAAACAAATTCTTCCCCGGGTATGTGGGATGTTCAAAGGCAGCTCTAATTTCTAGTTCAAGCGGCATGTATACCAGTAGTTGTAGGTGCCAAACCTCTCATTTTGGGGATCAGATCCAGATTGCTGGATTGAAATGCAGTCATGGTTACCTTTTTTGGCAGTGTGCCCATCAAAACCCAGGGGACAGTCACATTCATAGCTGTCCTTCTTGGGAACGCAGGTGCCTCCATTTGCACATGGCGAGCTCACGCAAGGGTGGGCAGCATTTGCTAGGTTGACTCCAAAAGTGAAATCTTTCTTCACATCGATTGCCCGGTCATTCAAGATAATCTATGAGGTAAAAAAAAAATAAAAAATAAATAAAATAATTAATTTTAATAATAAATTCATACTCAAGCCCTCCAAACTTTCAGTATTGCTGTGCTAGTCAGAAGACTTCTCTAAAAGACCTCAGACAAAGGTAACCATAAATTTTCGGCCAAAAAACCTATATCTTGTGATGAGTGTTTTCCAGTTGCAGCAGTCCAACTCATTATGTTGCTCACCCTGACCAGCTGGAGATGAATTTATATTATGTTTTGTGACACAGACTTAGGCAACCTCCATATGGGGTGACGCTGTGTGGGATTTACCCGTTGTGTCTGAACACCAGCAGAACTGTGAGCTAGGACTGTAAAATTAGATGAGCACTGTTGAGGGAAAACATTTCTGAGCACAGGAAACCCCCCAGGAGACAAGTGTTGACAACAGAAATACTAAGAGAACAGCCTGTTTTTCACATTTTCTGTTGCTTTCTGGGATCTCTTCTTGCCTGCAAGAAGCTAGAGATCCAAGAATGGATAAAAAACATTATTAATGTCTTCACAAAACTGTTTGTATCTAAACCAAGGAGAACTGTTAAATGTTGGGATTTTTCCTATGTGTCAACAACGTATGTTCTCCAATATAAACTGACACTTTTTATAACCTCAACTGATATCTTGGCAAAGACTTTATGTGTGGATACAACTTCTGATCTCAGCCACATGACAAGAAGAAGACTGTTTTCACAAAGACACATTTTTTAAAGCCAGAAACGAGAATGGCCTGTTACTCTGACTCCTGCGTAACCCAGATGATGGACCTTAGGGGGACTTGCTAGGGAGAAGAGATTGTATCAAGTCAATATATTTGGTTTCAAACAGCATTGAACAGGTACAACAGCAAAAAGCATCCAGTCTTGAAATAAAGACAGACCAGTGAGGACTTCACTATCTTTTCAGCCTCTTTTTAACTTAAAAATTGTAAAGAAGGGAAGGCAGTAAGGTGTTTAAGTACTGTGTGGTACAAGAATACTATAGCTAGGCTGGGATACACTTTTTGCAGCTTCTTTTTCACTCTTTACTGTTTTGGTTACCTCAGACATTTAGCTGTCTTAGTGTGCACACCTTGAAGTCTTTGAGCATTTCTTCTGTTAGTTTATTTATATATTTTTGCTGAAGGGCACTTTGAAGCTTCTAATCTTGATACAGCTTCATGCATCATTCTGAACTTGATGCCTTATTGGCTTCTGATCACATAATAGTACAGTATGAAAACTACAGCAGTGGTAATATTTTCTGCCTATTAATATTAAAATGGCTTTTCACTGTGAAGTATGTGTTTAAGCACTTTCTGGTGGGCTCCTGAGGTGAAATGTTGGATTATTTTTAATATTGACAGTAACATAAGGGCAAGCTTTCACCTGAACTGTGTACTAAGTGAGATGGAAATAAATATCTCCAGTGTTACTCTGGGCACATACCTTCTGGATGCTCCCACTGAAGGGCCTGAGGATCCCAGAGTTCTTCTTCACATCATCATAATTAGGGACTCCACCAATAAATATTTCAGAGCTGCACTTAATCTGTGTAAAAGCCCCCTGCAAGAAGGAAAAGGAAAACATTTTTCAAACGTATTTCAAACTTGGTATACTGAAGTAAGAAAGAGGAGAGAGGAAACTGACTGATTTCGACTTCTGACTGCCCATCTAGCTGTATTTGCAATTAGATGAGGAACATAGATGTGACTTTAGAACCAGAACAAGGTTCATAATTTTAAAATCAGAATGAAGTCCAGAGACTCGCTTAATCTTTCCAACATCTGCAAAGCTAATCCATTGCAAGATGTGGGGTTAAATGGAAGAAATTTAAGTTTGCATTAGCTACCAGAAGTGAATACCAGAAGCTCAGGATACCTAATGGGACTAGTCAGTGTCATGGAGTGAACTGGCAGGTGTAAGAACAGATTAGCTGTGTAACTCCAGTCCTGCAGAAGCTCCTGTGATTTCTTTGTTGGGAGCTTTCAGACAACCTCCTTGTCCTCCTGCAATGCAGCACTTGGAGAAAAAAAAAATTTTAAAAAAAATCTCATCTATCTTGACCCATCTATCTAAAGAGATCTCAACTGCTCTGTTTGAATGTTTCCCATTCCCACTCGATTGGTTTCTTGACAGAAAAATAGAATTTCAGTCTTTTTAATTTCCTCAAGAGAAGTCTAAGCTTTAAATATTTTCCCAGTTTGCAGAAAATCTTGCAGATTCTTCTGCTAACAGAATTTGGAGTTTGGTTTTCTAACCAGACTTTCTACTGGGAAAAAATAAGAAGCATTTTCTAAGCTGTTCTAGCCTCAAGTTCTTGGGATGAAAAAACATCTCTGTGTATGCATTTGAGTGCCTAAGAGTGAATACTCTGCTTGGTACAAGCAAATTTTAACCTTATTAAAAACTTCACTCACTATAATTCTTAGTCAGCGAAGAATAAAATACAAGCCTTCAACTGTCTAGGTATTCCACCTCTTACTCTGTACTGAAAGCTTATTTAGAAGGAAAAGCCAAAGAAACAATTCCCCTTCAGCCTCCTTCTTAGCATAATACAGAGCAAGGTATAAACAGGACGTTTCATCCTTCTCCAGTTATTGCCTTTCACAGAGCACACATTGTTCAAAGGAATTAGCCTTAACCAGTAACAATCAAGAAAAGAACCTCAATAACGTGTGAGAACCAAACTCAAAAATGTGAGTCCCCAGGTCCACCGGCAAGAGCAGTAAGGTTGTGATTTCAGCTGCCTTTACAAGGATACCTGTCTTCAGAGGGTAGACTTCATGTGCAAAATTCCAGTTTTGGGCTTAAGAAAATGATGCTCTAACATGTACACTTTTTTGAGCTCATAAGATCTTTAAGAGCAGCCTGGGTTGTTTAGGATGCAATCATTTTTTTGTCTAACAGCCCTTTTCATGACAACCCATGTCATATGCTCACCTCTGCCATCCCTTCCACTGGCTTTTGTTTGTCCACTTGTAAGATACCATTCTTTGCTGTGCGAGACACTTGCAATTCATGCCATTGGCCCAGACTGACAGGTTCTTCACTCCTGTTTTAAGGGGAAGAAAACTTTCAAGTATTTATTATCTTTTGCCTTTCTGGTATTTTCGAATATTTTTGTCATGTTAAAAAGTCAAGCCCTCTGGGATTATTTTGTAAATAAAAAAATTAAAATAAAACACTGTGTTTCTTTTCTTATAAGGAAGTAATACAATTTCTTAGTCTCATCAGCAAAGCAAAATAAGACCATGCTCCTACAGCATATAACAAGCATTCTACTTTCATTTGTAAATCAAACATTTCTATAAACAACATGCATCTAATCTACCTCCAAGCTAATTTTTTTACTCAATCATTTATAAGACATAAATACAAATTTTTGTCTGAGCTGTACATCCTGATTTCATAATGACATAAGCCTAGAGATAAAGCTTCCCACTTAGTGGTCAGTCTAGTCCCATATTCTTTGTTTTTTTTTAAAAACAGAACTCCTCTGTTTTGGGCTGATTTGCTCTATTTATGCAGTTCATTACAGTCACAACCACACACACGACATGCAGCCCCGGCTGCTGTACATTAAGGGGAAGTAACTAAAATACAACCTTAATGATGTGATGAGATCCTGGCTAGGAACAATAATCCCCACTTGTGCAAAGCATTCACCAGTCTCAAAGGAAGTATTTTAAAACTGTTCTTAACAATCTTTATTAGTTGAGGTCTAATATGAATAGCAGCCTGTATAAAGGGCAAAACCCCATTGCCCTTTACAACTTCTACAGAACTTTTTATCTGTTTTTCAGATGTCATTTTACTACATTGGTTAAGACATTTTCTGTCTAAATGTTATCTTGCAGTCTTTCCTCCAGAAGCAATGAAAACTTGTGTTTGATTCAGTAGTCAACTAGAAAAATCAGAAACTGGGACACCCGAAGACTTGCAGTGGAACAAAAACAACAACAACAACAACAAAAAACCCCAAACTGTTTGAGGTGAAAGAATGTCTTATTTTCAGGCTATTCACATTTAAAAATGAAAAAGATACATATAAAAATGAAAGAACTGAAAAAAACTGTGATTTGAAATAGTGAGTCAATAGTGATTTGAATGCCAATTTTAAAAAGTGCATCATGTTGAAAATGTGAAAATAACAGTTTCACTTTTTTCTTTCTTTTTTTCTGATCAGTTGTTGTATCTATTTTGCTGCTCAGATTTTCTCATTTTAATCTCATTGGAGGATGCTGGCAATAGTCTTTGACTCTTGGTTCAGCAAACCCCCATAAAAATATCACTGAACAATACCACTCACTTGTCCTTTTTCCTATGTAGGGGCATTTGAGGTTTAACTACCTTGGGTAAACAAATAGGCAACAGAATTTAATCACCTTGAAAAGTCAATATACATACACAAAAGAAACAGATAAACTTGGCTACTTAATAAGTGGCAATATATGCATTTTATCTCCTCTGCTGATTAGGTTATCACCATGCTAACCTTCCTGCTCTGCTAGATTTAATTATAATTAGGGATGATTAAGCCTTGAAGAGTCATCACTTCAGAGTTTCATGCTATTTCTTGGATTCACAGGCTTTCTGAAACCAGCATTAGTTTTGTAATGCTTTTTGCAGGCATTTCAACACTTTTGGCTCCTCATGTGCTGTGGGTTTAAGGACTGCTTTTCCCCAAGCAAACCAAACCTTAAAAAATACACCCAGTGATTATGATCTTGACCTTGTGGATGTCTAGCCAAGAGAAATCCCAGGGGACAACAAATTCTCCCCTGAGACATGTTGGTAAAGAGCTCAGTTTCTACATCTATGAGTCTGCTCTGCATCCATGCTTCTCCCAGAGACCCCTGTACACGGTGCTGTTTCCATCCTGGGACACTTCAGGCCAAACCTGAACTTTACCAACATCAGCTTCCCTTCTATTGCTACTGATGTACATAAATCAGCTTGCCTCGTCCTTAATTACAAAGACATTATAATCGTGTTCTGACGATATTACAATACTTAACAGTCTGATTCTATGGAAAACATAGTCAGGATGACCAGAGTGACTATCACCAAGAGTAGGCATGAAATACTATGATGAAGATCAGGGCAGACTTTTAAGTGTGTATTGGCTAAGCAGGCATGAAAACAAGGAACCTACTTATTTAATCACTGACAGACCTGATAACAGGCTGTGAGTTGCACACCTCATCTAGAAAAAGGAGCTAAACAGGACATCCTGAGAATGTTTAATGAAGCCTCACGGGTCTCCCCCATTACTCTTTTTCCCCAACACATGTCATTCATGTCCTAGCTTGTGTCCTGCTCACTTGTCTGCTTTCCAAGAGAAAGAGGTAGTTTCCACTCCCAGGCACATATTTGTGGCTTTTGCCACATTTTACAGGCCTATATATCAGTTAAACTTTATTTTGAAGTGCTTTGGAGCACTATAATATACAAGGTGGGGGGAGGGGGAAGAGGTGTGGGGAGGAGGGGGGTGGCAGGGAGAGTGGGGTGAGGGGGTTTGGAAGGAGGAGGGCAGGGAAATTATGTCTGATTAATGTCTTATGCTTGCCAGCAAGAGGAATTAGAAGATTTCAGGCTGTTGTTAGAAGAGCCATTTCGGGTTGGAGCAAAGGTCTCTGACATTGTCTATTTCTGCCACTTTTCACTAAAAGAACAGGGCAAGTATGGAGTGATTCTTCCCTTGATATATCCTCCCAGCTTCTGGCAATGTCTCATTTAGCAATTTCCTGAGTCAGAGGCTGCATCCGCACAATTGTGTTTGATCTTCCGCAATGGAGCTTTCTTCAAATTTGCCTAACTTTTTCTGTTGTTGTTAATTCATTTATAGTTATGGCATCTGTTACCTGCTGTGACAATTAGTTTCCACAATTTGTTTATGTGCTGTCTGAAAACAAAACAAAACAAAACAAAACAAAACAAAAAAAAACGGCCTTATTTTCTTTGCTGCTTTTTGGTTTGCAGTTTCACCAGTCTCCTAATTCATCCATAATGAAAAAATACAGAATAATAATTCCATGTTTAATTCAATGTCTTTCACAATACGAAACCTTCCACCAAACTCTCTTTTCCAGGTTGAAGGGTCCTGCTCTATTTGTTGAAGTTGTTTCCTTCCCTCCTCCTCATACCAACATGACGATTCTTTTTCAGTTTTGCTAATTTCTTCTGAAATGAAGTGACCAGAATGGCAGCAAGTTTTTGAGACGGTGTATTGTGGATTTTTGCATGGCATTGTTCTTTATTCCATTCTTCATAATTTTCTGTATTGTATCTGCATTTTTCTGTATTTGTCTCTAAGTCGTTAGCTGTTGTTTTCACAGAAATACCCATGATGATTCCAGTATCTCTCTTTGTCTGACAGCACTAATTGTATTGTCACAGCTGTGTAATATTAGGCTTCAGCATGATTCTGATTTTTGCTCCCTAGAAATTTCATCTCTTCCTTTGTCAAGGGAATGAGTTTCTTTGCTTGAGTCCTCATTCAGTGGAAAATCAGTACATTTCTCCTAATGGTAGTATAGCTGAAATTCTTAATGTCCATCCACAGGAAACACATGGTATGCAAGACTTGCAGGCACTGTACACATTTTGCACAAGCTTTCTATAGATTATTTCTAAATATTAGCCAGTTGGCTGGACCACATCCAGCCCTTTGGACCACATCCAAGGTATTGAGTGCCTCTGTTGAGCCCACTGCCTTTCCAGAAGAGGCCAGGGAACAGCGGCACAGAGACTGAGCACTCAGATACACAGACAGAGAGAGCAGCCCTTTTTGAAGTGTTTTATTGCTCCTATCCTGGGCACTAATTTTAGGACCAGAGAGGTGATCCTGCCCCTCTACTCGGCCTTCGTGAGGCTGCACCTTGAGCATTGTGTGCAGTTCTGGGCACCATAGTATGAGAAGGGCGTTGAGGCGCTGGAGAGGGGGGAAGAAAAGGGCAACTAGGCTGATTAGAGGTCTGGAGATCAGGTCTTATGAGGAGAGGCTGAGGGAGGTGGGGCTGCTCAGCCTGGAGAAAAGGCAGCTGTAGGGAGACCCCTTTGATTTCCAGAACTACCTGAAAGGAGGTTGCAGTGAGGTGTGTGTTGGCTTCTTCTCCCTAGTGACCAGCAATAGGACAAGAGGAAATGGGGTCAAGATGCGCCAGGGAGGCTCAGGCTGGATATTAGAAAAAAATTCTTCACAGGAAGAGTGGTGAGGCATTGGAACAGGCTGCCCAGGGAGGTGGTGGGAGCATCATCCCTGGACGTGTTCAAAAAAGGTGTAGACATGGTGTTTCATAAGCCGGTTTAGATTGTAGAGTGGGTGGATGGACTTGATGCTCTTGAGGGTCTTTCCAACCTTGACGATTCTATGATTTTATGAATCATTCTTAAAAGGTATGTCTTTGTCTCAGAGCCTGGGTGACTTCTTTAAACTATGTATTTATCTTTTAGATAACTTAAGCTATTAAAATTGGATATTAGCTTCAGATGCCCCAAAAAACAGTACTATGAGAAAAGAGGGGACCTGGTATATCTTCCTGTGACACCTCCAGTCTGGTACGTACTGCCTGGAACTGGAGAGCAGGGAGGAGGATGTTCATAAAAGTGCCAAGATTGTGCCATTCTGTGGCTAGAAAGTATATGCATAAAATATTTACAGATCCCCTCACTGGCTATGGTACAATAAGAGAATTTAGACAATACAATACAGATCTGCAGTAAGACATGGTAACACTTATAATAAAGCTTTGAAATACAAACTTATGTAGGAAGAAAATTCTGTCCCATTGAACACAGTTCCTTAGGCACTAGATGCTCATGGGGTCCCAAAACTCATTAAAGGTTATTATTCTTTCCAGCCCACTCCTCTCCTGGGTCAGCACCATGGCACTGTTGGAAAGCAAACATAAGCAATGCTGTTTACCTGATAACAGCCGTTCCTGAGCCACAGTCAAACCTGAACTCCACATAACCAGCCACCATGTTAATGGAGAGGAAATCTTTGCTGTCTGTGTCATAGCTGTACAAAAGGACACCAGTCTCTAAATCTGGACGAAATGTCATCTCAAACTCCATGAAGGAAAGGTAATTCTGTGGTTCCAAGGGCCAGGGAGTGCTAGCAAATGACTTTAAGGACTCGTTGAACTGAGGTATGGCCAAGGTGAGTGCTGGAAATCAAGAATACACAAGCAGGTCACTTGAGGTTTCAAGGTGAGGGATTGACTCCTACCAACCAGTGTCAGTTCCCTTTGACAGATACTCAAAGTTAACATTAAGAAAAACAGCATAAAAATTCTGTCTTCCAAGTTAAAAACTTTTTTTTTTTTAGATCTTAGCCAACATTGCTTACATCCTTAATCCCTTCCTTTTCCAGGAATGTATTTGTGTTACAAAGCTTTGTGCTCCTTTTCTTTAGTGATTCACCAGTGTTTTTCAAAGTAATAAGCATGTACAGAATAGGTGGTGATATGAAAAATTCCCTAGCACAGAAAATAATGTTGTATATATTTGGCTATTTGTACTTCTGAGATTTCTGCAGGAAATCCATACTGGGTCCTTTACACTCCAGAATATACAACCAACATTGATTTTTAGGAGAAAAGTGGTGATTTTTTTAGAGTTAATAATGTGCAGCTGAGGAGTGGTGCACTATTCTAACTTCTGAAATGTATGTCTGAGATAATTATAGTTAGTTGAAACAAATAAAAAGGTTTGAGAATCACTGGTTATATAGGAGCTGGGAGTGAATGGTGGGGGAGGATTCCACTGTGTGGTTTTAAAAAGATTAAGTAAGAAGTACTCTCTTCTGTCAGCGTAATAGCGTAAGACCTCCTTGGATGTCACTATGTAGAAAACACACACATGAAAAGAAGCTCAGCATTCTCTCACCTTCCTCACAATGATGACCTTTAAAACCAAGAGGGCAAAGGCAAATGTATGAATCTGCTTTGCTCGCAGTGCAGGTACCACTGTTGATGCAGGCAGCCTCGTCACAGATGCCACTGCTACACTCGCCTAAACACAGAGTTAGAACATTGATATATCAGACAAACTTGTCAAAGAAGATTTATTTGGCTGTTGGTCATTGCTACTAATGAGTATGATCTGCACTTCTGCCTAGATTCTTTCTTAATTTGTCAAATGGTGTGCAATTCTGACAATGTAACTTGAATTTTAGCATTGAATGTTTTAGTACCAGACCAGGAAGGGACCTTAAAATTAGCAAAAAGTATCCTTTATTAAAATATCATGACAGCTGTAGCTTTCAAGCAATTCCTTGGATCACTTATCTTTTGTTCTTGTTCCTATCTCTATTTCTCATAAAATAGAAGTCTCTTCAGATTGTTTAGAAGCACTGTGATTCATTTAATTACAATCAACTTAAGTGCTTCTTTGTTCACTGTAATTCATGCCATGGTAAGCACAGAAGACGTTAACCATCAGCAACTAATCTTATTAACTAAGATGAGGTTGTCAGCCCTCTTGTCAGCCACTAAAAGGGATCCATATCATGAGCATACGGGGTTTTTAAGAAACATTTCTACTGTGTTGGCACACCAACTAAAATAACAGGGAAATTATTTCTGTTTGCTGGAATTAAGCTGAAACTGTTGTAGAACAATTAATTTACTAATTAACTTCTTAAAACTGGTATATGCAAGGTTGCTTTTGTTTACTTTCTCCTCTATTTTATTTTCTGATTAAGCAATGCTCCCCTCATGGAAGTAATAAACTGACTTTATACATAAAGTATAAGACATCTGTGGTACACAAATGCAACCACATCATCAGGGGCAAAGTGTTTGTGACAAACTAAGAATTCCACATTTACTTAGAGGCACAATGGAATACCACCTCTGAGATGACACAGGTGTCATGAGGCAGCTCTGACAGTAAATACTGAAGGACAGTTTTGTTAACAGAAATGACTGAGAGAAGTCTTGCAAAACTACTGTAAGAAGAGGATATGCCCTCTGGTTGTAAAGACAGTTTCCACACCAGGGCACTATAAATCAAAACCCACTTGGATGCGTTCCTTTGTGGCCTGTCTTAGGTGATCCTGCTCTGGCAGGGATGTTGGACTCTATGATCTCCAAAGGTCCCTTCCAATACCCAACATTCTATGATTCTGTGAAATCTTCAATAAGGTGCTGGCACTAGCACAGCACCAGCTTTACAGATTGGTTTCCTATCCCACAGCCAAAAGTGTGCAGATGTAAATGGTTGATGACGTCCAAGGTGGAAAAAAACCTTTTCTCATCAACTCAGGACAGAGGCAGTAATAACTCTTATGTCATCTGGTACAACTCCCTGCTAGACCTGACTAGTCTTGTCTTGTACTTCCACGAATCTCCTGCCAGGTCCATTTTCCATTGTAGAGAGCAAAGCAGTCATAACAGAGGGCTCCAGGGATAATCCAAGGAGCATAAGCAAAATAGAGAAGTCCCCTGCACAGGAATAGGGTCTCCTTCTTTGTGGGAGGGGATAATTACCCCTTCAAATGGCTCCTCCATGCCCAGCAAGGGTGCTTGCCATGGTCAGTGAGCCATATTTCCCATTCTGTCGTTCTGTCTCCTGTTCTAATGGCCATGGCAAACTGGAGCAGGACAAGTATCTAGTCTCTGAGAACCTCCACATACTTATCAATTTTTGCAACAGAGCACTAGCTCTGTTTTACACATCAGTAAACAGAGCTAAGACATATGAGTATACCAGGACCTAGATGCATCGAGTTTGAGACAAACAGAAAACTAAGACAGAGCTCATCTTTACTGCATCTTCTGAACTCTGAGTCAATGCTGGAAGTAAATTCAAACAGATCAAAGTTAAATGATGTCTCTGAGAAACAGAAAAGGACAAGGAAATAACAATAATGGTACGGGTCTCAGGCCCACTGGTTGAGGGACAGCTTGAACTGGGGAGTCATGGTATTTAAGGACAGGCTGCTCTCACAATGTCTCAGCGACTTATCACAGTGTTCAGACCAGCACCAGTGACTACACCTAAATGACAAACCACTGGTCTGATGGCTGTGTCTGCCTGGGTGTGGTGGCAGACAAGGAAGGAGGGGAGCTGCAGTGAGAGTACAGGGCCCTGCCTTGCCTGCTCCGAACCACAAGCACTGCCTCCCACATCAGCCCCTGCACTCACCATCAGGCAGGACTTAAACTGCAGCCAGCAGAGACAGAGCAGGAGCAGGATGGGCCCCTCTTCTCCCTGCATGCAATTTTACGGCCCATGTGCCACAGCACCATTGATTTATACACAACACCAGCAGAAAACAAACAACAGACTGGCTAGCAAAAGCCATCCCTAAACCCCAGCAGAGTGGACTTGCAATTTATTTATTTTAAGATTAACTTACATGGCATACTGTTTGCGAGTGTCTCCTGGAACAGTTTCTGGCATGGTGCTTGAGATAAGCCATGTATTTACTGCAGTGGTTAAGTATTAGTATTGGCATAACTGAAGTTCTCCTGTTTATTGTGTACTGCAGATACACAGCACTTGAATCATAGAATCATAGAATCATAGAATCTTAGGGGCTGGAAGGGACCTCGAGAGATCATCTAGTCCAACCCCCCTGCCAGAGCAGGGTCACCTAGAGTACATCACACAGGAACGCATCCAGGTGGGTTTTGAATGTCTCCAGTGAGGGAGACTCCACAACCTCCCTGGGCAGTCTGTTCCAGTGCTCTGTCACTCTTACAGTAAAAAAAATTTTTCGGATATTCACCTTGAACCTCTTATGCTCCAATTTACACCCATTACCCCTTGTCCTATCACTGGTCATCAATGAAAAAAGCCTAACTCCATCTCCCTGACACTCACCCCTTACATATTTGTAAACATTGATGAGGTCACCCCTCAGTCTCCTTTTCTCCAAGCTAAAGAGACCCAGCTCCCTCAGCCTTTCCTCATAAGGGAGATGTTCCACTCCCTTAATCATCTTCGTAGCTCTGCGCTGGACTCTCTCGAGCAGTTCCCTGTCCTTTTTGAACTGAGGGGCCCAGAACTGGACACAATACTCCAGATGTGGCCTCACCAATGCAGAATAGAGGGGGAGGAGAACCTCTCTTGACCTACTAACCACACCCTTTCTAATGCACCCCAGGATGCCATTGGCCTTCTTGGCCACAAGGGCACATTGCTGGCTCATGGTCATCCTCCTGTCTACCAGGACCCCCAGGTCTCTTTCACCTACACTACTCTCCAGCAGTTCAGCCCCCAACCTGTACTGGGACATGGTGTTGTTCTTCCCCAAATGTAAAACTCTGCACTTCCCCTTGTTGAATTTCATCATGTTTCTCCCCGCCCAACTCTCCAACCTATCTAAGTCTCTCTGAATGGCAGCACAGCCTTCTGGTGTGTCAGCCACTCCTCCCAGCTTAGTGTCATCAGCAAACTTGCTGAGGGTACATTCTATACCCTCATCCAGGTCGTTGATGAAGATGTTGAACAACACCGGTCCCAGCACCGACCCTTGTGGGACTCCACTAGTAACACACCTCCAACCAGATTCTACCCCATTGACTACAACTCTCTGACTCCTTCCTTTCAACCAGTTCCTAATCCACCTCACTTCCTGGTCACCAAACCCATACCTGATCAACTTATCCACAAGGATGCTGTGGGAGACGGTGTCAAATGCTTTACTGAAATCAAGATAAACCACATCTACCGCTCTACCATCATCTATCCACCTAGTAATTTCCTCATAGAAGGCTATGAGGTTAGTCAAACATGATTTACCCTTGATAAAACCATGTTGACTGCTCTTGATGACCCCCATGTCCTTGATGTGCCTGGAGATAGTGCCAAGAACAAGTTGTTCCATCACCTTTCCAGGGATGGAGGTGAGGCTGACCGGTCTATAGTTACCCGGGTCCTCCTTCTTGCCCTTCTTGTAGACTGGAGTGACATTTGCTATCCTCCAGTCCTCAGGCACCTCACCTGTTGCCCATGACTTACTGAAGATGATGGAGAGTGGCCTAGCAATGACCTCCACCAGCTCCCTCAGCACCCTTGGGTGCATTCCATCTGGACCCATTGATTTATGGATGTCCAGATTACTCAACTGATCCCTAACCCAATCCTCATCTACCATGTCAAACTCTTCCTCTATCTTGACTTCTTCTGGGGCTATATGAATCTGGGGCTCATAGGGAGACCCTGCAGGAGTGAAGACAGAGGCAAAGAAGGCATTCAGCACCTCTGCCTTCTTTATATCCTCTGTCACCAGGGCTCCCACCTCATTCCTCAATGGGCCAATATTGCCTCTAGTGCTAGTTTTGCTAGCTATGTATTTGAAAAAGCCCTTTCTATTATCCTTAACCTGACTTGCAAGGTTAAGTTCCAAGGAGGCCTTAGCTTTCCTAATTGCCTCCCTACATCCTCTGACAATATAAGAGTGTGCAGCCATGTAATGACAGTAAGTCTCTATCCCTAGTTTCAAGTTACACATGGTAGAACCCAGCATTTATTTTCATTGATGTTGATTGTTAATCATACAGTAGTATGTGGAGCATTCATGGATGGGAATGAAGCTAGATGCAGCCCAAAAGGCAACAGAGATTCAGGCTCAGAAAACTTCAGCAGGGCTTTAATCTATCTATCTAAATTCCATACATTCTCAGTGTATCGTGAAATTGCACTCTGATTCCAAAGTCTTATTCTTTTCAGCATCTGTTTCTTGGGCCACTCTGTTCCCCCACTACTCAGAAGTTTGGTCATGTTATCTAGAGAATACAGAGTGATTGTTAGGAAGTTTCTCATTAATCACTTCCTTCTTGGGATGCCAAATGTACAGCTATAGAAGAGAAGAAAGATGACTTTGTGGTTGAAGCATAGCACGGAGAGTTCAGCAACACAGGATTTATTTCCTGCCATTACTACTTATTTTTTTTACTTGAGTTTACTCTTATTCTTAAACTGTTTAGACTGGGAGGTCAATCCACCAAGAATGTTGTTGTCCTGTCATCTTTTCAAGTGCCCGTTATATGTATAAAATAGAGATTAATAAATAAGACATGACTAGTTAATTAACTTCCCTACTTCTTAATCTTGCAATGTGTGAGGGGGAGATGATGTTGTAACACCATAAAGCTGTTGAAATAATTTATTACATGTCATTTTAAAAACATATTGGAAATGAAAACACTGGATGGGCAACAGGAAAGCTTGTTCGACTCATCAGTAATTGGCTTTCATGGGAAA